ATATTAATTATTATGTAATGGGTTTTTTTTTACATTGCTGCTTGAATTTTTAATCCCCCATAGTATGCTTAAAACTGTACCTCACTCCCCCAGGACAACACCTCTCTAAAATGAAAAATATGTACATATTTAATATTTTCCTAGTTAAAACGAGAGCACCATCTGGAAAATCCAGAACAGTTATTTACTGATATTTTGTTTTATCAGTAAAACAAAAAATATATAGCTTGTTATATTTGTTAAATTCAACATGAAAGTAGAATGACAAGATAATGTAATTTTCTTAATTTTTGTGACTAAGGATTTTATATTAAAATATGTTCTACGTGTTTTCTTCTGGATTTTTGTGACCTATAACTATGCATTAATAGTTGTCTTTTGAAATGTGAAGGTTTTTATATATTTATATATATATAGAGTTTGCTCAAATATGGGATTTTACAGGACAACTTTTGATTAATTTTGATGGATGGTAATATGCAAATATTGCCTCAAATTTCAGTCTGCAATAAAAAATGTAAGTGGTGGTGAAAGGCTGAATTCACCTTTTCACATAAATATATACATCTTCACACCACACGTTTGACACCCCTGCTCTAGAAGGTCAACTATTTCTAGATTTCTAGATGTGAAATAAGTTTTGTCTCCTTTTGGACCATGATGAGAACAAAGTAGACTACATCACAACTGGCTGAAAGATCCCTTCCTACCACTTTTCATTTTGAAGTTTACTTTTGGTGGCCTTTGTAATATGTGTGATTTAAGAAACCATTCTGTTTGACTGTAATGAACATCCCTGTGATATCACATTGCCTCCTCATATCTTAATTTCATCCTCTAATGTGCAGGCTCATTGTTATCTCAAAGGAAATGCCTCTCCCTAAATTTGTTTTTCACTCTGTATTCCGGGGAATGTCTGATAATATTGTAGCTACAGTGCCCTTTGTAATGTGTGGGACAAAGACATAATTTTTGCCTTCGTACTTCACCACAGTAGACTGTAAATTGAAAACAATCAATATGATTAAACTGCAGGCTTAGTTTGAGGGATTTTACTAAGATTTTGTATGAACTGTTATAAAATTACAGACATTTTTTTTAGTCTCGCAGTCTTTCTTACATTTTTCATGGGGGGGGGGGTCACACTGAGCGGAGTGGCTCTATGTGTTACATACACATTAGAGCACATAGATCTCCAAAACACCGCTGTTGACTAAAGCCAGCTTGGTCAAGAACATCAGAGGAGACGTCGCAGGTGCCGGGCTGGAGAGAAGCTGAAAGTGAGGTGAAGAAAATATAAATCATCCGTTCCATCGGTCACTATGGCAAAAGTGAGGTCTCTGGCTAATAAGATGGTAGGCTGTTAAGACATCAAAGGGAGTATTGGGAGTGCAGTATATTATGCTTCATAGAGACATGGCTGCACCTGGACCATAGTGCTTTTTCACTTTTCACGCGACAGAGACGCCAAGCTGAATAGTAAGAAGAAAGGTGGAGGGATTGCAGGGTTAGTTGATGAAAGATCCAGGACATGTTACTGTGAAGGAATGTCTCTGCTCGCTAGACATTGAACTTTTAACTGAGAGTATTTGCCCATATTCTTTACCACTGTAATTGTCTTTGACTACATCAGCAGGGGCAGCAGCATGTGACATTATGCAAGTGACTGTCGCTGACCTACGGTGCAAACATCCAGAGGCTTTCATCACCATTAGTGGTGATTTTACCTGTATCAGTCTGGACGGCACTCTACCCGTTGGCAGAGACAATAAAACTCTGGACCTTCTGTATGCAAACATGCAGGATGGATAAAAAGCCGCTGCAAGTTCAGAAGGACATACCATGGTGGGACTGATCAGGTTTAAAGATATATACCGAGAGAAGCTGGAGACCAAACTCCAGCTGAATAACATCAAAGCGGTGTGGAGATTGATGCATCTTATCACTAGACTCAATCAAAGGCATACAACAGCAGGGGAGTAGCCTGGTTAGAGCCAATGAGCTGAATCTGTTTTTCAACAAGTTCAGTACTGGAGTCCCTCTTGCCCGTCCTCACACAGCACCAATCTCAACACTTCCTCAGCAATCAAAAACCCCTTGTCCAGTTGACTCGCCAAGGATTGACACGACTAGACTCGGATCCATTACAAACTAATAGTTCTTTGTTTGCATGCTTGTCGCAATGTGATCACCGACAGTCACTTGTATAATGTCACATGCTCTTGCCCCACCCTTTTTTCTATGGTCTCACAGTCTTTCTTACGTTTTTCATGGTGGGGGGGTCATGCTGAGGAGAGTGGCTCTGTGTGTTTAGAGACGTCACGGGTGCTGGGCTGGAGCGAGAGTGAAAGTGAGGTAAAGAAAATGTAAATCGTCCATTCCATCTGTCTGACATCCCGCAGGATCTCTTCAACCTGAGTCTGCTGCACGAAAAAGTACCAGTGCTATGAAAGACATCATGTATTAAATTAAGCCAGTCCTTCTGATCTTGATAACTTCAAACCAGTTGCCTTGATGTCATGTCATGAAGGTGCTAAAGAGACTGGTTCTTGCCCGTCTTAGCTTGCAGGTGAACCTGTTCAGTTTTCTTTCTAGTGGATGATGCTGTTACCTACCTGTTGCAGTGTGCTCACTGTCACCTAGATGGTACTGGTGGCATTGTGAGAGTCATGTTTTTTGATTTATAATACCCTCGCTTCATTCTGCCGAATGAGAAGGGGTGGGGGCGGGCACGCTGTCTGATGTGGTGGTCAGTAATACTGTGGCACAATAGGGGACTCCATTCCTGGTTTACCTTGTACTCCTCAGATTTCCAGTACAACAGTGAAACATGCCATCTGCAGAAGTTCTCTGATGACGCTGCAGCGGTTGGGTGTCTTAAGGCTGACAGGAGTTGGAGTACAGGGAACTGTGGAGTGATCCAGAAGAAATCTTTTTTTTTTTTTTATCACTGTTGTATATAATTATAAATTCCTGCGCTCAAAAATAAATTTTTTGGTTTTTCAGTTTGTCCGTCCAGATTTAGCCAGATGCTTGACGTCAGAACTGAAGAAGCCTCTTCACATGTCATCCAATTGGCTTTTTCAGTTTAGTTCAGGCTGCATCTGTCGTCCGTCTGTCATCCAGATTTAGCCAAATTCTGCAAAAGTGGACAGATAGCACTGTTTAGTGTAAAAGGATAATGGCTGAAAGCATACCGCAAAGCTAACCTAAGAGTTTAACAACGTAATGAAATGAGGTCTTTATCTGTGTAAGTCATCAGGTTATACAGTCTGGTCAAAAGTTTAAGACCACTTGAAAAATAGGAAGAAAAAAAAATCATATTTTGCATGGTTGGATCTTTATTCTTAATTATTCAGCAGTGATAGCAGTGATAAATTTTTGATCGGGACTGTGGTAGTCTAAGATGCTTGGAAAGAAGCTGAATGAAGTTCTTTATATTTCACCTGTCATCCAAGAGGCTTCTTCATTTCGGAACTGAAGAAGCCTCTTAGAAGCCTCCAGTTGCTTTCTTCCTTAGAAATGAATTATTGTTCAAATACCAAGTCAGTTGCCTGATCTCAACTAAATGGAACATGCTTTTTCATCATTAAATATAAAACTGAATACAGAAAAGGCCAGAAATGAGCAGTAGCTGAAGGTACTGTGATCGCCACAGTGACTCTAAAGTAGAATCACTGTGGTGAGGAAGAAAATGTTTGCAGTCATGCAGACAGATGCTTGCAAAGAGCTGAAGTTGTGTTAGCAGCAAAATGGCATTGTTCCTGTCTTGGTTGCAGTTTGCAGTTTATCATTGTTCTCGTGTCCTTTTTTGCAATAAAAATAAAAGTAATGTTCATATCCACACTTTAGATTGCACCACTATTTGCCTCTTTCCGCATACAAACTGAAATTAGCTGATTGTAGCATACGTACAAGTGAAACCAATAAGCAGAATCGATAGGCAAGCAGACTAACAATTCCAAGGAATTGAACTACTGGAAACTGGTTCTCTACAAGAACTGGTTCTCAATTTCCATGCGTACGCTAAGCCCCTCCTGAATGATCAAGCCCCTCAGCCGATGTAGCCACGCTTTGGGAGAAGCACATTCATTTATTCATTGTTCATTGTGATTGTAGGAACATGGATCACCCAGTTAGTTGACAGCTTTGCTTTCATGCTCAGCTCCCTCTTTACCACAGCAGGCCAGTGCAACATCTGCAGTACTGCAGATGCTGTGCCAGTCTGTCTGTCAGTCTTCTGCGCCACTCTCCCCTCACTTGTGAACTAGACCCTGAGATACTCGAACTCCTTCCCTCGGGCCAACAATTCATCTCTGGCCCAGAGAGAGCATTCCACCATTTCCTTGCTGAGAATCTACACCTTAGATTTGGAGGTGTAGATTCTCATCCCAGCCACTTCAGCTGCAAACCACCCTAGTGCAAGCTGGAGGTCACTCATTGGTGAGGCCAACAACATCTGTGAAGACCAGGAACATGATCCTGAGTCTACCAAATCAGAAACCCTAGGCTACTGGGCTTTCTCATAGACCTTGGCCCACAAATTCTTTTCATAAAAGTTATGGATAGCATTTAGCATTTAGAAAGGACAGTTTTGACAGAGTCCAGGTCTCACTGGAATGAGTCCGACTTACTGCAGTGACTAAATGGCCCATAATAACACGTTAGTCACCTGGTACTCCTGAACCGCTGCCCACAGGATGATCAGAGGGATGAATGTCTCTAAGTCCACAAAATACAAGTTAATTGAATTTTAAAAATATATATTTCTTGTTTAGCTGTTTATGGTTTTCTTGTTTTTTGGTTATCATTTTTTCTTTGTTTCTCTCGTTTTCTAGTTTACGCATTTTTGCTGGTTGCAGTATTGCTTATATTTTGGTATACTTGGATTTTAAGTCAATGGGAATACACTTTGGGTAAAATCTGGCATATAAATAAAAGCGAGTGAACAGTAGATAACTTAAGCTGTCGGTGATATATGTCATCCTTGTGTCATGCAGGCTGCAGCAGGGAAGCTCTCGGTGGACAGCTTGCTGCAGATGTCCAGCTCTGAGCTGCAGGACATGATGAGACGCCTAAGCTCCAACTCAGAGGATCGCTCTCGCCTCACTACTGCTCTCTCCTGTCTAAAGAGTGTTAATGAAACAGGTGACCAAAGAACCTCCCCTTCTATGTTTTGTTTTTCATGAGTCATTTGTAGAATAATTCATCAGAGGATATTTCGGGAGGGGTATATACAAGAATTATTTTAATAGCAGTGCTACAATTCATACTTTAATCATCTGAGGTGGCTACTACATTGTTTTAGATGCTGAAAAAACAACCCCACTTATTAAATTCCACTGAAGAAAATTAATATATTTCCATTTCCATGAATTTTGTCAGTGGCCTGGTAGATGTAATCTAGCATATGTTGACTTTTTTCATGAATGGTTAGATTGTGCGCAGCTATGAATTGTGGGGTAATATTGTGAAGGATGCCGTCACATAAAGGACAGCTGACGTGTCCTCTTTTAAGGAGGTAATAAAGCATTGAAGTTCTTTTCCTAAGGATTTGGAGCCTTTGAACAGCTTATGTTATGGTTGCTGCATAGAGACTTCAGGATCACTTCACTCTGCTTAGAGCCTTCTTTAGCAAAATTAAGTATTTGAATGTACCCATTGTCTCTAGTTTTGTTTGGATTTCTTCTTGTCATTTGTGTTCTACAAATTGTTTTATTACTAAAATGCAGCACTGTTCAAAAGTAAGGAGTCTCTCCTCTAATCTTCATATTTTTTGCAAGGAAATTGGGAAACAATTTATTGAAATGTGTGCATACATGGAAGTACAGTATATAAGACTCTTAGGGACTTGCTGGTGCAAAAATACTATTTTATATGTGTCAAATATTTTGTAACTGGATTTTTTCATAGATTAAGCTAAAAGAAAATGGAACAAATTATGTGTTTTTGTGACATGCTAAAGATGTGTGAATGAAAGATTACATTATATTACATTAAAATTAAAAAGATTCAAATTTTAAAAAAGTTTTTTGCTAGGTTGCCTGTTATGTTTGGACAAAAAACTGTTTTATCCATTCAGTAATTCACAGGCCAGTCTCAGGTTGCTGAACAAACAAAACAAATGGTTGGAAAATGGTCAGGTACAGGGAGTGAACTGACAATGAGTGAAGAAACAGCCACTGTCAAAAGAAAAACTTTAGACAGAAATCTGAAAGGACTATTGCTGATGACACTTTAAAAAATTACAGAAAAAAGTGTTATTCCTTGGAAGCAAAATATAAAGAAACGAGGATTGGCACTAAATAATACAGTATAATTTTCAGCTCCTACAGAGGTGTTAAAAGTTTGATCAGACTGATTGTATTTCACAAGTAATGATCCAAACTGTCTTTAATTCTAGGAGGTGATCTTAGGCATAACTCAGGCTCCTGCAGTTCTGAGTCACAACAGGACAGCAGTCCCTTTTCTCCTATTAGACCCTCTTTAAGCTCTGGTAGCCCTTTTACCTCATTAAAACCCAACAGCAATCATGGCCGCTCCATCTCTATATCAGTGGTACCCTGTTCAGATGACCAGAGACCAACTGTACCAGCTGAGAACATGAGTGATCCGTTCTCTTTGGAATCAAGCACCCCTTCGCTAACACAGGTCTCAAAGACCCACACGTTCAAGTCCTCCCACACACCACCACCACCCTCTCGCAAACTGTTGCAACTGCTTCCCAATATTGCACTGACGAAAAACAAGAGTCATGACTCACAGCCGACCAACCGCAACGAGGATCCTGGGACACGCAAGTAGGTTTTAAAAGGAATTCTGCAGTCATACATTTTCAGCTCTACTTTGACAGGAAGATTTCTATGTACTTTCCTGAATCAATTTCTTATCTCCACAATTGTGAAAACTAATTTAAAAATCATTTTGTCTATCCTTATAGTGTAATTCAAGAATCACATTTATAGTGTAAGGAGGTTTCACTGTAGAATTTACAAATTTGTCGGTGTCTTTGCAGGGCCTGTAAGAAGAAGAAAGTGTTGGCTGCTATTCAGATCAACGGCTCTGGGATCAGTCCTGAAGATTCAGGTCTAAGATCACCTCTGCTGTCTGCCCAAACACCTGGCCCTGTCCCAGCCTCAGCTCCATACATGATGCCCGTCGCCCCCATCTTACTGGACAGTGAGTTTGTATAAAAGCTACCGGAGTGGATTTCTGTTCACATAGACTTTTGGCCCTTCTCTGTATCAATTTGACAAAATCTCTTCTTTTGATATGCTGGTTTCTAATATTCTTCACAGATCTAGCCATGCAGAGAAGTTCCCCCCATACAATAAGAAGAGACATTGGCCTGGCTGTAACCCACAGGTCAGTAACCAGTTTGACAAAAACTTCTAGTTATCACATGTTATGTTATGGCCACTGCAGGTGATGCATTTTACGTATTGTGTTTCGAAAACTAACTGAAACGATATTTTGAGCATCTAACTTAAAAAAAAAAATAAACAGGAAATGTTAACACAACAGCTATCAGGAGGAATTGGTGCATGTCGAGTCTGGGATGTTTACATGACATGAAGTGGTCTGTCTGTACAGTAGTTCTTAAAACATATTAGCCTTTTTTTGAGATACCACTTAGAATATAAAAACAAACGGCTAACACAAAAATGTAAACTAAACTAAAATTACACATTTTCAAAACATAAAACATAAAATCTGGAAACTGAAGCTAAAGTGAACTAAAAACATAAAACTTTTGACATTCATTTATCAATAAATTGATATCATCTTGATATCAGTGATATCATCTGCATAATCTTTGTGCAAGTGTGAATGCAGATAACCATTCACAGTATTGTTGTTATCCTAATCTTTATTATGATTATTATCATTCCATCTTCTGTATTTTTATTTTTTTTTTAGTTTTAAAAAAATTATTATTTTTCTTTTAGGCATTACGGTTTTGGATTTAGAAGCAGTTTTTCAACCAGTGCACCGAGAGAAATCTGACAGGAATTTGCCACAGAGTAACAGTATGGCAGTAGTAACTGGATAAAGCATTCTGATTGGCCAGTTAACTCCAGGCTTATTTTTTATTGGTGGATTTGTCTTCAGCAGATAGGTGGTTCAAATCTGGGAAGTTGGGGTCAGTAGATGACTTTTTGAATCATCTTTTCTGGCTGGATATTAGAGCTGAAACCATTTGCCTGTCTGTAGTGGATTCTCCCAAATTTCAACTCATCGAACCTAATATAATGTCTGTCTGCATCTCCCCACTAACATGGACCTGGTCTGAGAATAAAACTCACAAAACAGTTTAAGATTAAAAACTATTTTACCTGCAGACACACACACACACACACACACACACACACACACACACACACACACACACACTCAGCAGGTTAGTGTCAGTTGATGACTTTCCAAAGATTTGAATAAGCCCTTTTGTGAAAGAGAATCTGGACTCTGCAGGATCTTATGACAGGCTACTTTTTGTGAACTTTAGCTCCACTTTCAGGTGGGTCACTGACTTCCTGTTTGAGAGAAAGCAACAACATCAGAATGTGGCATGTCACCACCTCCGCTAAGAAGATGCTGACGAACCCTCGATTAAAGTGTTTGTCACACTGTCCTCTGACAAGATGCTTCTGTCCATTCGACTTTATTTTACTGACTTCCTGTTTGAGAAGAAGTCATTGATCTGCACACACAGCAGATTAGAGTAGACATGCAGATATTCTGCTTTTTCTTTCAAGATTTTAAGATTCTTGGGTTTAGATGTTTAAAACACATAAGACAACTCTTCAAGTGATTTAAAGAATATCAGCTTTCAATATTCATTCTGATTTATTTGATGATTCTAAATTTTCTTTTGTCATTAGCTTTTTCTAGTGTAAAGACGTTTGGCTACTTTGAAACTTCTTCTGTGTGAACTTCAGCTTTCAACAGTTCTGCAGTTTGGCTTTCATGTGAATGAGTCAGCATATTCAGTGTACACACTGCTGTACAAGATTGAGCAATTATAAAAATCTAACTCAAACCTTTCAGCTGTCAGTATTCACACTGCATTATTTCAGGAAACCCATTCTCTAGTTTTAGTTCAGTACATCGCCACCGTGGATTTTAAAATGAAACAACTCAAATGCAGTTGAAGTGCAGGCTTTCAGATTTAATTCAGTGGGTTAAACAAAAAGATTGCATAACAATGTGAGGAACTAGAACATTTTTTTAAAACAATCCCTTAATTTCAGGGGTTTAAAAGTAATTGAATAAATTACTTACAATGGCTAATACTTGGTTGAAAACCCTTTGCTGGCAATCACGTACATCGCCAGATGCTGTATTTCCTCCTTTTTAATGCTCTGCCAGGCCTTTACTGCAGCAGCTTTCAGTTGCTGTTGCCTTTCTGTCTTCAGCAAGTGAAATCATGCTCAATTGGGTTAAGATCAGGTGGCCATTCAAGAATATTCATCTCCTTTCCTTTAATAAACCCCTGGCTTGCTTTGGCTATATGTTTTGGGTCATTGTCCATCTGTATTATGAAAGGCCGCCTAATCTAGCTGGATTTGAACAGACAGTATGTCTCTGAGCACCTCAGAATTCATTCGGCTGCTTCTGTCCTGTGTCACATCATCAATAAACACGGGTTTCCAAGTGCCACTGGCAGCCATGCACGCACATGCCATCACACGGCCTCTGCCGTGTTACAGATGATGTGGTATGCTTTGGTTCATGAGCCCTTTCACACCTTCTCCATACTTTTTTCTTGCTGTCAGTCTGGTCGAGGTTGATCTTGATTTTATCTGAAGGAATGAAGGAATAGTCCATGAATGCCCATGAAATAGCCTTTGAGTCCAATTTGAGTGAAATTTTATGTAAACATATAGTATGTTTATTTCATACTGTACTATACTGGACTCTGTACTACATGTAATACTATACTCCTTTTTACATATGAAATGTTATTCTTATTAGCAGACTGAAATGATATTTGAACCTGTGATCAGGCCTTTGGCTTCATCAGGAGAAATTTACGTTTTTTAGCTTAAGAAAAAAAAGCTCTAAGAACAGCGTGATGAACAAGATGTTTTTTGTTCTTTCCTGAATTCCTTTGTATTCACAGCATGCAGAAGTTACTATATGACTTTACACTGTCAGTCATTCTAAATGAAATTATTATTAAGTTAAAATTCTACATTTAGATATACAGTCACAAAATTTAAGGCTAGGGTTTTACTCATCATCTATTATCACCTGACTAAATTCTTAAACATATTTCTCAATATATTTGTCATATTTGTTCTCCTTCTCTTTTGCAGGTTTTCGACTAAGTCCTGGCTCTCCCAAACATGTCAAGTTTGTTCTAAGAGCATGATGTTTGGTGTCAAGTGTAAACACTGCAAGTAAGAACTGTAAAGATAAGATCGTGCACTCTTTCAGACTGCAGTACAACTTGTCATGACTTCTTTAGTGTACTATTTAGAGTATTCTTCTCCTCACAGGTTAAAGTGCCATAACAAGTGTACCAAAGATGCACCTTCATGTCGGATATCATTTGCTACATGTAAGCAACATTAAAATAATTTAGTGATGTGTGACTTTACTGGTCTAGTGGTGTTAAAGACTACATTAGAAATCTGGTTAGACTGGTTAGAGATTGGAACGGGCCAATTTCCAGCATTCGTGGCCCTGACCAGTGACCGGTTGGTCATCCTCACCTATGTTCACTTACTACCTGGTCCATTTCATGCATGTGCAACACATGCACAGCAGTGCAGGCAAATAGTTATGCGCTTACTCACAGCCGCACATATATCAGTATGAAAAGTCCTGACTGTGATGAAACTGTTATCCAGAGCTCAGAAATGGGTGGGGCTGTAGCTCAGGAGGTAGAGCAGGTCATCCTTAATCAGAAGGTTGGTGGTTCTGTCCCTGTATACTCCAGTCTACATGCCAAATATCATTGGGCAAGATACTTATCCCAAGTTGCTCTCTGATACAGTCAGCCGAGTGTAAATGTGTGTGAAAGTTAGATAGAAGCACTTGCGTAGAAAAAAAGTACATGTATGAATGGGTGAATGAGGCATGCTGTATAAATGCTTTAAGTACTTGGATAGAGTAGAATAGTGCTAAATAAAAGCCAGTCCACTTAAATTTAGCTACCTACAAGCCAGCAGTCCTTGATCATTTGCTCAATTCTATGAGTAAAGGAGAGTAAAAAAAAGAAAGTGTTAGTCTGTTATCTAGTGAATTTGTAAACATACTGGGATTACCATTGATTTGTTTTATAACTATTGAAATGTGGGGGTTTTGGTAAGGGAAAATATGTTAGATAAAAGTGGGTATACAGGGTTTTTTTTTCAGTTCTATAAGTGGGAAAATATCCTACAACTTGTAGTTTTAGGAAAATTGTTATGGAAATTATATTTTTCTTTGTGGTCAGTTGTAGTTCTTAGAAATCAGTAACAAAGGGTATGCCAGGTCACAACTGGTGCCGCTCTACACTACAACATGGACCTCGGGAGGAGATGCAAACCCAGCCTGGGGAAGTAAGGGAAGATGAGGGCACATGACAGTACTTAGTAATGTCTGTAGACAAATCATCCAGGTGATTAAAGTCTAGCGATTACTGGCAACAATGCTATTAATTTTGTAATGGACTCCCTTTAGCTTTGACAGTTACACTAGTAGCATGTTAGGAAGGATATTACAATGGGCAGGATAGTATCAGCAAGAATCTAACATGTTAGGGCCTGTTTATTTTATTTTAGGAATTGTAAAGTTTTGAAAATATTTTAAGCTCAAAGCTTGTATTTTTATCTGACCGGTAGTGCCAAGGATGCGTAGGGCAGAATCGGTACCATCAGACATCAACAATCGGATTGATCACACAGCCGAAGTCTCAGTGCAGTTTGGCACCTTACCAAAGGCACTAACCAAAAGGGTAAGTGCAGCTTTCTAATATGTGTTATATCTCATTCAGGTCTGCTCTAGCTCTTTCTATTCTTCAATACTGAAATGGAGAAGATTGTTGAGATCAGTGTGCAAGAAATAAATAATGTGAAATAATTGAAATAATGGACTCCTTGTGTGTTTGGAGGACCCTGTCCCCAGTATTAACCAGCTGGAATCCAGCAGTAACCCGTCATCAGCCACCTCTTCCACACCTTCCTCTCCAGCACATTTCCAGCAGAGTAACCCTTCAAGCATAAGTGCCACCCCCCCACCTAACCCATCACCACAGAGCTCCTGGGACAACCGCTTCAACTTCCCAGGTATGCAAAGTAATAAAGACAGCATTGTTTCACTCTTAGAAACGATATATTTAACTATAAATTCAATTAAACATTAAAGTTGTAGAAATTACATCTCTAACAAAAGTGAAAAGTGTGTTTTTGTGGAAAATAAGGCCTCATTTGTTGTCAGGAAGACTTTGTTGAGATGTGGGACTAGGGGAATGTTTACAGCCCTGTGAGTCTTAGGAGCTTGAAAAAAAGATGACAGTTGGACATCTTTAATTTATGAAGATGTTTCAATTCTCATCAGAGGCTTCTGCAGTTGTAAAAAAAAACGCTGGAGAATTCGAGGTATACCTTAAACTGCACCTTTTGTGTTTAAAAAAAACATTGATTAAAAAAATATATGATTAAAAAAATATTTGGTGAGTTATTCCAAATAAGTTTAAAATGATATGAAAATCAGTGTACTCTGTTTTTATGTAGATTTTTGAGAATAACCAACTTTTATTTTAAAACTGGGCTGTATGGCAAAACCAGTTTTTCATGTTTAAAAGTGTCAAGTGAACGATTGAGCATGTGAGCATCGTGATCTGTCTTTGAACCATTCAAAGAATTGTTGTAAAGTGTTTTATTGTCAAACTGGTTAAAAACATTTGTAAATGCTCAAACGTGATAGTTTGACAGCTTCAAACTATGTTGGATTTAACATCCTTTGTCCTCATGTCATGTACTGCAAGTATCCAAGCATCAATTTGGAATGATGATAAGTAGTTTTGTAGTAGTGCAGTGCTCTCAAGCTGAGTTTTCCAACAGATGTTCCTGCCTCCACATGCAGCGTTCAGCATTCTGGCAGTCACAATGAGTCTGGGTAAGAGAATACAACATTCATGTAGCGATCCAATGATGCACTTTTATTTCATTCATATACTTACTATCATGAGTTCAAGTCAGATTTGGTAGGAATTCAAACAGTAGCAGTGCTTTACCAAACAGTCCACTTGCATAGTACACTTTCTAAATTACTTTAAAGTTCACAAATGGCTCTTTCAAACTGTATGTTAGCATTTAACATTTGTAGGTATAGTTTGATATTTCTCCTTTCTCTTTCTTTCTCCTCCTCCACCGCTGCTCTCTCTCCTTCCTTATTTCCCCCTCATCCTCTTCCTCCTTACCTCAATCGAAGTCTCTAACACATGAACGCTTACGTGTACATAAACATACTTATTTATCCCCAATATTGTCACAATTGCTTATTGTCACGAGATTAGACATGCGACCCTCCCCTTTCCAGTTTACTATGAGCTGTGTGAACAACAGCTGATTGAAGTGTTTGTTCCACTAAAAAGAAAGTTTCACTAACACAAGTTAGCAGCACCTAACAACAGCAAAAATGGCAGCACTAACTGGCAGAAAATTTGAGGATATCTTCGACAACTCACCATCTGTCATTAAAGAGAGGTGAGCTTCAATGACATTGACTTGCATTGGACTCTTTTGCAAGGTTTTACAGCCTTCCTCCTCTTTCTATACACAGTGAGTCACTCTCTTTATCCACCAGAGCAACGCAAATTTTAAGATTTTTTTAAAAGTATTGTTAGATTGACCTGTATATCACTGCGGTTTTTCTTTTAAACTCTTTTTTAAAAAATCCAGTATTGCTATGTAGAGAGCACACACTGTACATAAATAGTATTTATGGTGATATTCAAAATTATTATTGTTAATGTTTTTGTAAAACATAAACTAAAACCTAAAAAATAGTTTATTTACAAAATTTTCTTGAATTTGTAAAACTCATAAGATAACATGAGTTGGAAACAAATGGCATCTGAGTTTCTGCTGATATGACATCCTATCAAAATACTGACCACCTTTATTTGTGGTTTTAGGAAACTCCATTCCTGGGTCTGCCTCCTTGCAGGAGAATAAAGTCGAATCTTACATCACATTTTTCTAGCTTTAGGGCACTTACACTGTAAGCCATTTGTTCATATATGTCACGGTCAGCAGGAGCTGACTGCGAGAGTGTGAAAATGAGGTGCGGACATAGGGGGAGACAGAGCAGAGCCTTGAACAAAAAGCGAGCTGTTTTATTCAGACTGGTAGACATGAACAGAGCCCAAAACAAGAACGACAACTAAACTGGAACCCATTCTGGGAAAACTAACTGAAAATTCTGATCAAACATGATAACGGTGACAACTAAGATTACTATGAGTTCTAGGATTATGACTAGACGTGGAAACACAGACGTTCTGACAAAGAGAATGGAACACGCAGACTAAATACACACAAGGGGTGATCAGGGGAAGTGGAATCACATGACACAAATGAACATAGTGACACCAGAGGGGAAGTGTAAAACTAAGCACATTGAACGAGGAAACGCCAGACCTTCAAAATACAACAGGAAACACAGACGTAGAAACGACAGCACCAACTAGACAACATGAAATATGCTGACACGAAATACATGGCAGACTACATAAAGGAAACCAGAACAGACTTACAGAAGAGGACATAGATGGACCTAAACTAGAATAGGCTCAACTAAAACCTAACTAATAATGCAACACCAGAACTACACATATTATTCTAAGAAAATACAAATTTACCAAAAAACACTAAAAATGCTGGGTCAGAGACCCAGCCACTGACAATATAGTTCTTTATGCAGGCCGGTGTTTTTGGATTGGAGCACCTGGATAAAAGCCACACATGCAAACTCTATAAAATAAGGCTCCAGGAGGGTTTGGAGCAAAATAGTTTTGCTGCCCAGCACAATGCCGGGACATGGAAAGAGGAGAAAGAGGAGCCGTTTTGGCAGCCAGTAGCTCTCAGCAAGTTTCCAAATGTAGTTATTCTAAAGATAAATTAATTTGTTACAAATTTTGGTGAATTCTTGTTAATTTCTTTGGTTTCAGGATGGTGATTACTGAGACACAAATAACAGCCACAGAACAGGGATTGGTGAGTAATAGAAGCCACATAACTTATTTTCTGTACAGCACTTTGGTCCTGTGTTGGGTATTTTAAAGTGCTTTATAAATAAAATCTGATTGGATTGGATTGCAGTATATTAAATTAAAAAGATGAAGGGAAAAGGATGTGATTTGCTGGTTTGTCTCCATTACATGTATATTTTACTCATGTCATTTTCCTTTGGTTTACAGTACTTGCCAATGCACTGTGCTAAAGCATGTTCCTTTTTTTCTGGCACTGACATCCATTTGGTAACTTTTCAGCTTCTTTCAAATGTTCCAAATTTAGTTATTTTTCAGCCTTTTGTTCAAACGATTCAATTCATTCTTGTCTCACAAATCTACACACAATACTTCAGCAAAAGCAAGTTTTTGGCTGCTTTGTTAATGTATTAAAAACTGTTCCATTTCTATTATCCTATTCCAAATATTCAGACCTTGTATTTAGTACTTTGTTAGAGACCCATCCTCGTGTCTTCTCATTAATGATCCTACAGCCATAACCAGAGGTCCTGTATTGAACATTCCCATTAAGCAGTACTTTTTTGGTGGAAACATTAAATGATGTGTTGGCTATATTAACATCAGACCTACCCAGTGTTCGGGACGTTTTTATTCCTCGCAGAACTGCTTCAGATCCAGCTGATTCATTCAATACCCAGTGTGACTGTCTATATGAGGTTATTTCACAGTATCTCTATTGGATTGAGGTCCAGCCTGTAATGGATTTGCTGGGATGTTTAGTTGGGTTTATTATATTTCTTTATTTAACTTAAGCTCATTTCCTGCCTGCCATTATCTTTGAAGATATTGGTAAACATTTCCTCTTAATGACAATGAACTTTCCAGGCTAAAAGGGAGCAGCATCCCAGTGGAGCAATCTTTTCATACTCTTCATACTGATGGATGTTATTTATTCCATCAAATATTTCTTCCAGCAACCACAAGAATTGTATAACTATCCAAAACACTTTTGGTCTGAATGGAGAATTACAAGACTGCAATACCTATTTCACATTTGTATACCAAGTGCTGCTATTTCCAGTAATAGATATCAAAGTGTTTAACATCAGTGTTCACTTTCATTCTTCTGCCATGTGTTACAGGAAGAGGAAGGAGAGGAAGGAGAGGAAGATTACACAGCTATGGATAAAGAAGAAGCTGACCAGACTGACACAAAAAAGAGTTATTCCAAGGAAGAGTATGATGAAGATGGTCTGGATGATCTACCCTCTTCTATATGCCGCCGTCAGGCTGTTGGCCGTTCTGGGGTCCCCATCTCTCGTAAGGTCAGCCAGACCAGTGTCTACCTCCAGGAGTGGGACATCCCGTATGAGCAACTACAGCTGGGAGAGCTTATTGGAAAGGTGAAAGCAGATTTGTATCGTAGAAATATAAAATCCTGTTCAAAAAATGAAAAGAAAAAACATTATTATTAATTTAAATTTTGGCTTTATGTCCAGGGTCGCTGGGGTAAGGTGCATAAAGGTCGCTGGCATGGTGAGGTGGCCATTCGCCTTCTAGAGATTGATGGCAACAATCAGGATCATCTGAAAGTCTTCAAAAAAGAGGTTATGAACTACAGGCAGACCAGGCACGAGAACGTCATCCTGTTCATGGGTGCATGCATGGCTCCTCCTCATCTTGCTATTATCACCAGGTACTGCTGCATGACTGCTCACCTAAACACTGCATTGTCACTCATGCTGGCTTCCCCCCATTTCAAGTGCAGTTCCAACAACAAGTGCATATGTGCACTGTTGTATATAAAGTTCTATACAAAAAGTTGTTTGCTGCTTTTTTGACTTTTTGTGATGTGATGTTTATTTTGTAACCATACTGCATGTGTTTCCTCTGCAGTTTCTGTAAGGGTCTGACTCTGTATTCTGTTGTAAGAGAAAGAGGTCACCTGCTGGACATAAATAAAACCAGACAGATTGCACAGGAAATCGTTAAGGTAAGTAATACCTGCATATTCTATTGGTTGATAAATAAGATGGAATTGTAGCCAAGAAATGCCAAACATACACTATGTACATTATATAACAAGTAGGAAAATGTACTGTTTTGGATACAATGTCAAGATTGAAACATGCTGCACTTCAGCATGTTTTGGTGCTTCCCCTCATCCCCAGTGCCACAATTTGAAAAAGTTTAGTGTCACACGTAAAATAAAAATCTACACAACAAGGCTTTAAACATATAAACTAAAAATATCTACTGTTGGGTCGTCTTCATTTTCTTTTTGTGAATGTAGGAATATCTTTTGTTCAGAAAATCTTTGTTTGTTGCAGGGAATGGGTTATCTTCATGCTAAAGGCATCGTTCACAAGGATCTGAAGTCCAAGAATGTGTTCTATGACACAAACAAGGTGGTGATTACAGACTTTGGCCTGTTTGGAATGTCTGGTGTGGTACAAGAAGGCAGGTAAGAGTGAAAGAAACTGCATTTGGCAATAAATTTATGGTGAGCCATGTTTTTTCTCCTAATTCTTCTTCTCTGTGTTTCTGTGTTTAGAAGAAAGAATGTGCTGCGGATACCACAGGGCTGGATCTGCTACCTGGCTCCAGAAATTGTTCGAAAATTGAGCCCAGAGGTTGATGAGGACCAGCTGCCTTTCTCCAAAGCTGCTGATATTTATGCTTTTGGGTATTGACTAGTGCCATTTATACTAGAAACTATTAATGTGATATTGAAGCTATAGTTTATATTATGCAGTTCTGCCTTTTAGGTTCTTAACCTTTACTTTGTTATAATTTTATATTAGCTTGTTTTTGTGTTTTCTGTGGTACATAACAATTGTTTGATTGTTTGGTTTTCTCGAAGTTAAATCAGGATTTTTACTGTTGCCAGCTAACATAGTAAAGTTGTTTTTGTAGAACCATAAATTCAGCTATCCAGACATGATGTGCAACTTTCAGCTAGAACTGCACACAGTTTTTTAAAACCTTTGTTTCTATTTTATTCATGCTCCATGTTGCATATTTGAGCACATGATGTAAGAAAATGTAAAATAATGTAGTACATGAAAGGATCTTGTGTCATTTCCAGCACAATCTGGTATGAGCTGCAGATGCGAGACTGGCCAATTACCAACCAGCCTGTGGAAACTATAATCTGGCTAGTGGGTCGTAATGAAGGCATTAAGAATGTGCTGTTAGAGTCCAATCTGGGCAAGGAGGTCACGGTGAGTCTGAAGATCATGTCTACGAAAAAACTGACCCTGTTGGTAACTGTCAACAATTTACAATATATATTTTCTTTGTTCCTAATGTGGGAAATGCTGTTGATGTAACAGCAGTATTAATAATAATCATCATAATAATCATAAGTATTGCATTTCAACATCAACACAGCACAGCATAATGACATTACTAGTGTTGTAAGAGCGAATGGTAGAAATAAAACACTGAACACATCTTTCCTTGCCACACAGTTGTATTGTAGAGTTGTTCAGTGTGATTTATACAGCTTCTGTGCTGGTCTCCCAGTTTAGACTGTTGTTGATGTTACACCCAGCTACTTGTACTTCTCCACTACATCAACATCCGGTTCTAGGATACACATGGGCTATGTAGCTGTTACTTTCACCACTGGTCTGGTCTAATTCAGGCCTAGCTGAGTTCAACACCCACGGGGAACAACTCTGGCTTATTGCCAGTAAGGCAGACCAACAGTTGTACAGAGACCAAATGGCTCATAGTTACGGACCAGACGGCCCTCAGAGAGCACTCCAAGGGATGCAGGAAAAAGCTTTCTCCAAGTCTGCTAAAAACACGTAGACTCATTGGGCAAACTCTCACCTGCAAATATATTTAAGAGTTTGAAGAGCTTGTACAGTGTTCTGCAACCAGGATGAAATCTTCACTGTTCCTCCTGTATCCTAGGTTTAACTAACAGACAAGCTCTTCTTTCCAGTGCCATAGCATTGACCTTTCCAGGGAGGCTGAGGAGTGTAGCTGCTGTAACTGTAACTGGAGTACACCTTCTGGTTCCCAATCCTAAAGATAGGAACCGCCACCCCAGTCTGCCAATATAGAGCCGTGTCAAACAAGACAGCCCTACAGCTTCCATAGGCTTTTGGAACTCAGGGCGAACTTCGTCCGCCAAGGACTTGTTTCAAGCTGTTGCTCCTAAGTGGTTGATGGCTTTCGTGGTGGTGATGGGGCCATCAAGCTGAAAAAGGAGTCTTATCAGGTTGGATTAGCCTGTAGGACTTCAGAGGAAGCTGATGGGTACCAAAAGGCCAAACTAAATGTGGTCCAGGCAGTAGCTGAAGCAGCAACTCGGGTTTCGGAGGACATCAAAAAGAAAAGAAAAGAAAAGAAAGAAAGCAAAGGCATAAATTTGTAAAATTTCAGTTTCATCACCATGCATCAAATGATTTCAGTTCTCAACAAATTTTGTTTAGCATTGTCTTGAAATAAGAAAAATCTTTTCTTAAAAGGCATCTTCTGGATAGCAACATGTGTAAAGTATTAAAAGTATTAATATTGATTATATTATTATTATTTTCATATTGATTAAAATTTGATTACCAACCAATCACCATGTTCTATCTGTTACCTACCATCCCAACAGGAGATCCTGTCTGCCTGCTGGTCCCTTACGGCAGATGACAGGCCACCTTTCACCCAGCTAGCAGGCATGCTGGACAGACTCCCTAAACTCAACCGCAGGCTTTCTCACCCTGGACACTGGAAAACAACAGAGTAAGTGTCATGGAGTGACAGTAAATTCATAATCTGGGTGAACCAACCCACTACACTATATAACATCAACATTCAAAATGTTTACCTATTTATTTTAGTCATTGCTCATCAAAATCTACATTTTCATTTCAGAAAAATTTGAAATTTTATGAAGCTAAGAGGAACCATTACACCATCAGTCAACAAAAATGCTGTAAATAGTGTTTTTTAAAGAAATGTGAAAAATGTAAAGCTGGCCTGCTGATGATCAAATGATATATATGTACATACTTAGACTGTTTTTAATGTGACTACTGTTTTGTTCTGAGGAACGAATGAATAATGTATCAAGTAAATGCATTTTTTCTACTTTGGCAAATTAGGCACTATCTTTACTTTTTCTTCTGATACGTGATAGTGTTGATCACAGTCTGTAATGTACTGAATTTCTCTTTTTCTTCTGTCTTCAACTTCCTCTTCTCTGGATGTTGCCTGATTCACCTTGGCCTGTTCCTGTTGTGCCTCATCTCCTGACGGCTTCCTTTGGGTCCTGCATTTCCATCTTTATCTATGATCTTGTTTCCTTTCTTTCTATTTGCTTACTTGTTTTCCAACATTCCTGTTTGTCTCCTGGGTCCACTTCTATTTTGGTTAAGGACACTGGAAAATCATGAATGCCTGAGACATCACTGCCATCAGCATATCACTAAGTCAGGCAGTGAGAGCTTGTTAAATTGACTGAAAATATGATATGAAAGATGCAGCTCTGACAGATTTCCTATAAGATCGGATATTATGCATGCACTAGCCAAAATTTGTATTCTAGATGAAAACCAGCAGATGAAACCTTTTAAGTTCTGTCAGGGACATCATAATACCTGGGTCTAAAAATGCTTTGCTTTCATCTTTATCTCTTTTCCCTTGATTAACCTGTGTGCCTACTTCCCCCCACATTTCTAACTCCCAACCTTCAGTGAATGTAATTCTTCTTATATATGTTTAAATGTGAGTGTAGGCATAGTCTCATGGCTGTTTGAGTTAAATGCATAGTTAACTAAGAGCTGCTGGTTTCAGCTCTTAGTTAATTTAAAATACATTTTACTTCAAGGGTTCCACCAGAGTTTACTTTCAAAGGGTCAGTTCACAATATACACCCAGTAATTTTTTAAGTTACTTAATCGAAAAAGTGTTGTCCTTATAAATATACATTGATTATTATGTAATTATGATGCAGTCTCATAAACTTAGAATTAGTCCAATAAAATACATCAGTGCAGATTTCTTCTAATCTTCTTCTAATCTTGAGTTGTTGATTTAGTTTTTTCCAGAGTTTATTGTCCTACAGCAGCCACCATAGCTACCATTAGGTACTTGCATTGGAAGAGAAGAAAACAAAATTCAGTTGGCTGCAATCTAGTGACATCTAGTGGAGAGAAACCGACAGCTCTTTGCAGAAATTGCTTTTTGGTTTGTTTGTTTTTTGTTGTTGTTTTTTGTTTTTTACAAATTTTCTACACACTGAAGAATATTAATATAGATATAATTTTAGCATTAACAGTCTGACTCAAACAGTCTCTCAGTCTGCCACTGTTCTAATGTGGAATTTCTGCCTCTTTGATTCATAATATATCTCCAAAACTGAAAGTGTTTGCCCAGACTGAGTTCACTGTAGTGCAAAAGGCACCATGGAAATCATTTACCTCTCTACCGAAGTAATAAATATCACAGACAGATATGAGTTACTATTTATGTTCCACTTTGGCACAATGAAAGATAAAGATGATTGAACTGACCCTTGGAAAAGCGATTCCCTCAAAATAACAACTTTGCTTTTTTTACTTCTGTTGCAATTTTATAAGATTCCCTGAAGCTATGAAATAGCTAAGTAGTTATGAATAGATGACGAATGTTGTGGTATCGAAACCACGATAGAAAGACACTGCAGTGCTCCAACAACACTTGACAGAATGCAGCTGTCGCACACTGCCACCTGATTAGTCATCATTAATTTATCAGAGGGCAAACCACTGAGTGATACCACCCACAGTGGGATATAAGAAGAGATACAAGTTATCTGTCTACTTTAACTTCTTATAGGACAACAGTAAGCGGAAGCACAGTAATAGAAAGACTGTTTTCATTACAGTATAAGGAAGATTGTGACAAGAAGCAGTGCACCCTTGCGCAATTTGCATTAGTGAGCAAGACATGGCTGTTGTGTTTGTGAGTTTTCTTTCCTCAGGCTGTACATTCACCAAAAGTGTTTGTATGTAATGGTTTCACCAGTAGGGCAAAGCCCAATTTATGATGAGAAAATTGAACTAATGCATATATGTAAATACAGTATTTTACTGCACGTTGTATTTTATACATGTTTGTGCAAGGGTTGAGTTTTAAAATGTTTTTGTTGGTACTATATTTATGTATGAGACTGTTGTTGGTGGATTGTTTTCCTTTTCTTGTTTCCATTTTTCTGTTTTTTGTTGATACTTTCAAGGCTTTTTGTCTGAACAATTTAAGACATTAAACTTGATATTTTGATAAGTGACTTGGTGTTCACTATTTTATAACAGTGTTTGTAAGAATAGCCATACATTTATTTTAAATGAATCTACACTACCAACTGGACATAGTGGTGGTAGAGATGGAGAAGAAGAGGGCCGTAGCAACATCAGGAAGAAGGAGCACGAGAAGCTGGAGAAGTACTAAGGGTTCAGAGAAGAGAAGATCTGGAGGGTGAAGGTAACGGTGGTCCCAGTGGTAATCGGAGTACTCAGTGCAGTGACCTGCAAGCTAGTGGCTCCAGCAGATCCCAGGAACAGCATTGCAGATCTCTGTCCAGAAGAGCGCAGTCCTAGGAAAATAAAAAGATATTGCGCAGGACCTTCAAGCTCCCAGGCCTCTGGTAGAGGACCTGAACTTGAAGGATAAAGACCGCCTGGAGGGGGCAAGAGGGGATTTTTTAGCCAGAGTGAAGCTGACGCCCCACCAACATGAAAAGTAAAGGCAAATAGGCGTTAGAGAGGCATTAGAGCGGTTAGTGCTTCGTTTTTGCAGATTTGTGCAGGTACAATTATCATTTGTGCTGCTTTGGTTTTTGAGATATTAATATCATCTATACTGAGGCTGATACTCCATCCCCAGAAGCAGTAATATCGCTTAACGCCAAAAAGGCGTTCGATCGGATTGAGTGGGATTATCGTTTTCACACACTTTGGAGGTTTGGTTTTGGTCCTAACTTTATTCATTGTATCAAGCTCATTTACACTAATCGGACTGCTTCAGTCTATACCAACGGTACCTCATCAGAAGCCTTTGTTCTTCACAGAGGGCTCCCGTAGACGGAGGCAAGACCCGAGGTGGCGGGGTCTGTGTTTACATCCGTGACGAGTGGTGTCGTGATGCCACTGTAGTACGCAAACACTGCTCATCACTGGTGGAGTTCATGATCGTGAAGTGTCGCCCTTTCTATTTGCCCAGGGAGGTAAGTTCGATCTTGTTGGTCGCTACTTATATACCTCCATCTAGCAACAACAGCGATAGAAATGCGGCGCTGAACGAACTGTATCAGGCCATCAGTGAGCAACAAACAGCACACCCAGACGGTTTCATCATCCTCGCAGGAGACTTTAATCCTGCTGATCTTAAAACTGTTCTCCCAAAGTTTCATCAGCATGTACATTTTCCAACAAGGGGAGACAACATATTGGATTTGGTCTACACACAGGAAAATGGAGCATACAAAGCCATCCCCCTCCCCCATATCGGCACCTCTGATCACCTCACTGTTATGCTGATGCCAGCATACAGACAGAGAGTGAAGGTCATCAAACCTGTTATGAAAGAGGTAAGAGTGTGGCCACAGGAGGCCACCTCTGCTCTTCAAGACTGCTTTGGGTCAACTGATTGGGACATATTCAAGGAAGCAGCCACCTACAATAACATCATAGACATCGAAGATTACACAGACACAGTGAGCTCATACATCACCAAATGCATTGATGATGTAACACAAGTGAAAAGTATCACAACTCGAGCCAACCGGAAGCCATGGCTAACAGGAGATGTCCACAGGCTGCGGAAGGCCAGAGACAAGGCCTTCAGAGCTGGGGATGAAATAGGCCTGAGAACAGCGAGAGCCAACCTGTCCCGTGGCATCAGGAAAGCGAAACAGGACTACACACACAAGATAACCTCCCACTTCAATGATAGCAAGGACGCAAGAAGCCTATGGCAAGGCATCCAGGCTATTACAGACTACAAGCCTGTAGCGCGTAGCTGTGAGAGCGACACCACTCTGCTCAACAACCTGAACAGCTTCTTTGCACGATTTGAAGCACAGAACAACACACGCCCAAAGAAAACACCACCACCTCCACACGACCAGCCTCTGTGCCTGTCTGCTGCCAGCGTGAAGAGGACACTCATCACCATCAACGCCCGGAAAGCAGCGGGTCCAGATAACATCCCTGGTAGTGTGCTGAAAGACTGAGCAGAGGAGCTGAAGAATGTCTTCACAGACATCTTTAACACCTCCCTGAGGCAAGCCACTGTCCCATCATGCTTCAAGACTGCCACCATCATACCTGTGCCAAAGAAACCAGCCTGTTTCAATGACTACCACCCCGTGGCACTGACACCCATTATTATGAAGTGCTTTGAATGACTAGTCATGTCACACATCAAATCCACCCTACCTCCCACCCTGGACCCATACCAGTTCGCATACAGAGCGAAACGATCCACAGAGGATGCAATCTGCTCTGCCCTCCACCCAGCCCTAACTCATCTGGACAAGAAAGACTCATATGTGAGAATGCTGTTCATAGACTTTAGCTCAGCATTCAACACCATAATACCACAACAACTCATCTGTAAACTGGACAGACTGGGCCTCAGCACATCCCTCTGCAACTGGCTGCTGGATTTCCTCAGCCAGAGGCCTCAAGCGGTGCGAGTGGGCAACAAGGTCTCAAACAGCATCACCCTGAGCACGGGGGCTCCACAAGGCTGTGTGTTCAGTCCTCTGCTCTTCACCCTGTTGACACATGACTGCACACCAACCTACAGCTCCAACCACCTTGTGAAGTTTGCGGACGACACAACGCTGGTGGGGCTCATCACCAAGGGCGATGAGACCCACTACAGGAAAGAGGTTGAGCTCCTGACCACGTGGTGCAGAGACAACAACCTCCTGCTAAATGTTAGTAAGACCAAGGAGATCATTGTCAACTTCCAGAGAGGACACACCTGTCACCCCCCATTGACCATCGACGGCGCTGCGGTGGAGAGGGTGAGCAGCACCAAGTTCCTGGGGGTGCACATCAGTGAGGACCTCTCCTGGACCACCAACACAGCATCACTGGCCAAGAAAGCACAACAGCGCCTCTACTTCCTGCGCAAACTCAAGCGGGCAAGTGCTCCACCACCCATCCTGACTACATTCTACAGAGGAACTATTGAAAGTATCCTCTCCAGCTGCATCATTGTGTGGGGCGGTAGCTGCACTGACTATAACAGGAAAGCTCTACAACGCATTGTGAGAACAGCTGAGAGGATAGTTGGTGTACCACTCCCCTCCCTGCAAGACATTTACACCACTCGCCTCACCCGCAAAGCCATCACAATTGTCAACGATGCAACCCACCCCGCGCACTGTCTGTTCAGCCTCCTGCCCTCTGGAAAGAGATACAGAAGTCTCCGCTCCCGCACTACCAGGCTCACCAACAGCTTCATCCACCAGGCTGTGAGACTGCTGAACTCTCTTCCCTCCCGGCTCCCAGCCAGCAGAATCACCAGATTGGCAGAAGTATAGGACATTGCTACCCACCCCTCTCCAACAAGGAAACACTCTAACTGGAAAACATCAAGACTGAAAACACTGACTTGCATTGCAATTGCACACACCTGCTGCTATATATATATTTTTAGTATTCTTTTAGCACTATTTATATTATTATATTACTATTTCTGCTATAGTCATGCTTAAAACCTACCCATGGGACTACCTCAGAGAGTTCTACCGGACTGTTGACCTTTATATATTTAGGTTTGTTATCTGTTACTATTTATTACCTTATTGTTAGGGCTGTTTTTGTTGTGCATCTGCACCTTATTGTTGTCAATGTCTACGCATGGGACAGTGTGAAACGTAATTTCAATTCCTTTGTTACGGCCCTAGCAGGGCCGCTCTCTCTCGCTCTCTCTTGCTCTCTCTCCTGAGGGTGCCTGTGTGGGCGTGTCCCACTACCTCCTGCCTGAGATGCCACCTTTCCCTCCGGTGCAGCTGACTCCCATCAGCAATTAAGGGTATTTAAGCCCAGAGCAGGGTGAGCTCTGGGCCAGAGTGCCATTTTGTGTGGGTACAGCTAGTGAGCTGAGTGTCTTGTGGTGTTTCCAGCTAGTGAGCTGTGTATTGTGGTTTCCAGCTAGTGAGCTGCGCTTTCCTTTTGACTTTTTGCCTTACTGACCGACGCCTGAGTTTTGTTTGTTTCTTTTATGGTGATAACGGCTTGTCCGTCTCTTTTAGTTGAATTACTTCAATAAAACTGTTTTATTTAACGTTTTGCCTCCCTGACTCCTTTTTCTGACCCGGTCACTTTTGTTACTTCCCCCTCCCCGCCTAGACCCCTCAGGGGAACGTAACAAGTGGGGGCTCGTCCGGGATATTTGAAAAGGGAGTTCTGTGTTCGATTTGGTTTTTTGATTATCTTGCTTTGTCACCTTTTGGAGATCCATAACTTCCCAGTTAAGGTAGGTGAGTGCCCAGCTGAGCTTTTTAAGCTCCTCCTTCGGGCACTCTTTTGTTATTTTGCCTTTGTTGTTTTTGGAGTAATCCTGGGTGGGGATTAATTCTCTGTCGGGGGTAGGCAATTCAGGGCTCCGGTCGCTGAAGTTCTGCCTTTAAAGTTGCCTCGAGCCCAGCACGCTCCGGAAGATAGGTAGGGCAAGGTTGTCGTGTTTAGGAACTGGGTAAGTTGTTTTTGTTAAGGTGGGTGTGGCGAGAGGTAAGTTGGTCAGCCAATGTAAATTGTGTAGTTGTCTGTTAATTGTCTTGATTAGGTTGTGTTTTCCTAACCCTTCACCCCAAAATGGTTGACACAGCTGCTAGTGTACAGGTGTCTAGAGGCTTGTTTGTGAGCCTCGCCTTCTCCCTGGCGAAGTCAAGATAGGACTGTCCCTGCGCCAACTCCAACCCTCGAAAATGCTGCCTATAGGCCTCAGGTACCAGTTCATAGGCTTGGAGGACGGCACTTTTGATCTTTCCATAAACCAGGCCGTCCTGCCTAGACAGACCAGAACACGCTGCTTGAGCCTTACCTGTCAACCGACACAGCAACATCACCCCCCACACATCTTGAGGCCACTGCAGTGCAGTTGCCAGGCGTTCGAACACACTGAAAAAGCTGTGAACACTGGATTCACAGAAGTCTGGAACCAGGTGAATGTTATTGCTCACAAACAAGCCTCTAGACACCTGTACACTAGCAGCTGTGTCAACCATTTTGGGGTGAAGGGTTAGGAAAACACAACCTAATCAA